CAGAGTGGCCGACTGACTGTCGGTCGTAACATAACTTTGACTTTGAGAAGTTAGTATGTTGTCAGTTATAGTTCAGTTGTAAGAGAGTCTGTGAAAAGAAAACTTAGTCGGTGCAGCTAGCAACGAAGTGGGCGCAGAAACTGAAGAATCTCCACTGTTAGAAGCCGTTACCAGGGAACGTCTGGTGAGAACACAACAGACTGTGCTGTTGTGATTTGTGTGGAGATCAGGGATATCGATAACAGTGGCCGCGCAGTCGAAAGCATGAACTGTCTTCGCCCGCTCGAACGCTGAGATCGTGTGTTCGAATGCCACTTAAGGCAGGTACGTCTGTGTGCGTTTATTATTTGTGTTGTTCTGTGTGTAGGTAGCGGCCTTGCGGCGGCTGATCCCCCGTCCAAGGGGTCCTACCAACTGTGTATAGGATTAAGAAACTCAAAAGCGGCAAAGGTCCAAAAGAGCCTCTCATAGAGAGAGAGAGTGTTCAGCGATGGCGCTATAATTAAGTGTAGTCACGAGTCGTGTGTTAAAGTGGTCAATAAATCCAGTCCCCAATGCGAAACCCCGCTGAGAGTCACTTTAATACGTGAAATAATTACAAGTTACCACTGTAATTAATTCGCTTAGTGGGGGGTGGAGTCCAGCTGGGTCCACTAGGAACGGCGGCCACTGATTGGCCTATTGTACCTGCCCTGGGTGATTATGATGATGGAGAATTTGGTGGAATGACGACTGGCAGGGGAAACCGAAGTACTCGGAGAAAACCCGCCCCAGCGCTACTTTGTCCACCACAAATCCCACTTGACCAGGCCCCGGGATCGAACCCAGGCCTCCGCGATGGGAAGCCAGTGACTAACTGCTTGAGCTATGGCGCGGCCTTAGTTACCACTGTGCTTAATAAGTACTGGACAAACACTGCAGGCTGGATCTAAAGAAGCTATTATTATACATACATTTCAAAAGCATTCCAAATTGGAGGCAAATTCCAGGATGGAATGTTCTGTTGATTGTAGATGAAGTTCAGTGAAAGGCATATTTCCTTATACTACTGTCCCTTTGTCATATTCGGTGGATCACAATTGGCTAGTTACAGATATTCATATCCATTTTCACGGCCGGTTTAAAATATGTATGATGGGCCTCCTGTTTTGAGCCCCATTGTTTGTTGAATTCCTTTTAATGTGTCAACAAATTTATGAGACTTGCACCTGATGACACAGCATTACAAACAGGTGGATAGTGAATACTGAATTTGAAATGGTCACGGCCTAATCAAGGTATTATCCTGGCATTTGCTTGGAAGGAGTACTGAAAACCTAGACAAATCTCATTCAGGGTAGTTGGCTACCTAGTCAAAATTTGCACTGGTTACCTCCAGAATATAAGCCTGTGTTGCCCATAATTTGTCAGCTATCTGGAGCATTGTAACTTCTCACCAAAGAGAAAAACCTCCTGCATTTGTTTACGCGGTGAACAGATTTGTCATATATTTAAGTTACAAAAAGAGGATATGGCATATAGCTATATTCAAACTGGGGATGTACGAGTATTATGACCGAGGTCTTCATGGCTTTTCCCACACCATCCAGGAAAATGAGGCGTTAGTACCTAAATTACACCACGACCACCTCTTGGACATCTTTCTGATAACCTGCAATTTGAGGTGACATATTCTGAACAACAGATAGGGCAAAAACAGTGCATGCAACAAACACCTATGGCACTTTTAGAGAAACATATACTTTATCAAGAAAACACTTCTTTTCGGTGGCTGATCTATCTTGAATATATTCAAAATGCAATGCTCATGAGATCATAAGCTCACAGTTTCATACATCCAATTTATGCTACAAGGTAATCTGGCTTTGTGAAGCCTTAAAACTGCATGTCTATCCATGTTCCCTTCTGCAGAGTAAGAGTAAAATTATCCTTGTGCTTAATTTACTAAGCATTACATTAAAATGGTGTATGGGGGGTGGGAGGAACTGATCCTCCATTCTTGACAATGGTAGCATATGGAGTTCAATGGTCAGCTATATGGCCTGGCTGCTTTACTCCCATGGAAACAGCTGCGAGTACCCACTCTACAGGAGGATGGGTGAGTCCCAGAGCCAGCCTGGTAACTATGAAGTGCAGAGTAATCTCCTACCCTTCTGGGAATGGAACTCTGATTCCTCTGTCAATCTGTTTAATTTTTATACTGTTGGAACTTTCCCAGTCTGTGTCAAACAGAAAATATGCATTGCAATTGCCTTTGACAATGTTGTGACACAAAGTGTCAACTCACACCAGAACTGCCAATTCAGTATTTCTGAATAAGGGGAGAGACAACATGGAGAATTATTGTACAACTTCTCTAGAGCTTAGATGTTCTACACTTGCACGAAATCCAAACAGTGAGTGTTTGTTTCTATGTTGTGACCCCTGCAACCAGGCTGATAGCTTGCAAACTGAACCAGGTCAGCTATGATATGAATACGTAATAGAGAATCCAGTGTGTCTTTCTTCCTTTCTTTCAGTGTTGCCAGACTGATTTCTCTAGAAGTGAAATGTGTTATAAAACATGTTAATTGATGCTGTATCATTTTCTGAGGTCTGTTTTCAGAACTAATGGTTAGATTTTAATACAAAAAAATATGTCTCTTATAAAGTTACAAGTTGTTGTAAAAGCAATAGTAGTTTACTTTATAAATTTTTAAGTCTTTTAAAGATAACAATGTCATGACTATAAACATATATCATCAAGGGGATAAAAAATAGAAAGTGCATAACCTCTCCAATAACACAAAAACAGCACTAATTTGTTGATAATAATGTACATATGTATAACCGAGGCACTTTACTCTGTCATATTGTAGCATGAAAGTCTGTTGCTAGGAAATGACAGCAATCTAAGCAGCCATACAACAGCCTTCGCTAGATAATGGCCACAACAGATTCATAACATGCATCAATGGAATAAATGGAAAGCAGTGTTCTCTACACGGTCCATGTGTCAGCTACATGATGCAGCAACAGAGGAACTGTTGGGAGATATGTTTTCTGTGTGGTCTGTGCTGAGGTGTTATAAGCAGGACAATTCTAGAGTTTGGTTAGTTGTGAGACAATCACTGGTCAGTAAGGGTGTGAACATGGAGGCTGAGGAAGCTTGGAAGGTGTTAGCAGGCAACAACTGGTGAAGATACAGCAAACTGAGAAAACTTAGTGCAAACTGCTGTGTCCGAATTAGTGACAGCATTATAGTTACTTGCAGTTAAGATCTGTAAGTGTCCAATCAATTCAATTACCAATCCAAACTCTATATAGTCACTCATACATGTGACGAAGATATTAAGTGTGAATTTAAGAATAAAATAATCTTACACATTTGTCAGTGAGTACCAGTCTCAGGGCATATTTTCAGCTTAGGTAATATAGGTCTGACTGATGTCTGAATGGGTTCAAGGTAAAACTTTCAGATTTGTGCCAGTAACTGTGTTTTGGAATGAAACTCAAGACCCTTGTGCTCAATCATCAAAACATCTGACACAATTTTGGAAAAAGTGTACTGGTATTCCTACAACTTGTTTTCAACCTAAAAATAAAGAGGATATTTGTTATTTGAATCATCCATCTACAATGACTTGCAGTTACGTTCAATCTGATGATACTGTCACCAACCTGAGAAAACAAATTATCTGTGATCCACAACTTAAAATAAGCTAAAGGATTTGGTGGGGGATTCTGGTCTTCCAGAAGATTCTGGGATCACAATTTGAAGCTAAAAACTGATTTCTGATGGAATATCATTTTATTAGTATAGAAATTGAGGGCAGTATTTATTTCCATACTTTTTTGCAGGTAGATTCACTTGTCTTTTGCAACAATAATTCTGGATTAATAGGAAGCCCAAGAGCCGCAGCTTATCAGCTTAGTGAGTGGAGTATTTTACCGATTTTTCTAAGAGAAGTTTGAAAGTGTTCTTCAGAATGGCAATAAATATGCTTCTGTTCCAATTGATCACTTAGTGCACTTCAAAGGAACAAGTGAAAATCTCAAACTTCTTCTTAAGGAAGCTACGTATATATACAGAGAATATGGGCGGATACTTGGTGAAGACTTGAAGTTATAAGTATGCTGCTCAGTCGACAACATGCCATATTTTTATGCATGAATATTACAGCAGAACACAAAGTCTGCATCGGCTGAAGAAGCAGTAGCCACCTCTGCTTTACTGCGTTCACAAGGAAGCATTCTGCGAAGGTGTTGGACACAGGTGGTGGCTGTTTCAAGTACATTTGCAGCAAATTTCCAGTTCTCATACAAGATAAAGAAAAGAAGTTCTTGTTGGGCCTCACATCAGGAATCTGACTTTCAATGACACGCCTAAAGGAACTATGAGATAAGTTTAAGTTGGTTGGTTCAAAAATGTTATTCATAACTTCTTAGGGAACAATACAGACTCAAATTTGATATTATTGTAGGCAACATGTTGATTAATTTCAAGAGTTAGGCTGTAAAATGACCCTGAAGGTTCACTTCTTACATGCACATTTGAACTATTTTCGCAATGAAATGTCTGTATTTTTAATGACGACTAAGACACAAAGGAAGTGGAGGAGATACCAGGGAAGGTGAAATGTCAACATGATATCAGATTATTACTGGTCACTGAATAAGGGAAGGGATTTCACTAAGACACAAAGGAAGTGGAGGAGATACCAGGGAAGGTGAAATGTCAACATGATATCAGATTATTACTGGTCACTGAATAAGGGAAGGGATTTCACTAAGACACAAAGGAAGTGGAGGAGATACCAGGGAAGGTGAAATGTCAACATGATAGCAGATTATTGCTGGTCACTGAAGAGATTTTCAGCATAGCACACACACACACACAAAAACGAAGAGCTTCGATTTGATCACAGGAAATTTGTCGAATTCAGATACATGTTCATGTGCACATAATATATTCATCACAACCAATCTGTTTGTTTATTTGGGTGTCTTAATAGATCATTGAATAAATCTGTTTATTGGAACATGATAAATAAGTGAGTTACATGGCAACAGAAAATAAACTTTTCATTTCTCCTAATTTGTAAAAGAAATCCTTATGTGATGGTATAAATGGATTGCATTTTTGAGATCAGTATGGCAAAGTTACAGAAAGTAATTTATTAGAATGAAAGTAACTGTTCTCATGTTTAAATTCACACAAGTGTTATTTTAATACAAGAGTCCTTGAGTGCCTGAACAGCTGTCAAGGGAATGTCTAACAATCAGTCAAAATGCAGCTTATAGAGAGGCAGAGAATTATAACTGAATCAATATGGTATTATTACATTCAGCGACAGTTAAAGTGTAATTTTATTACCTGAAAACAGACAAATATTGCAGGAAAACTTCTGGAAACATTCATGTGATTAGAAAATGCAGTTTTATTATTCATAGTAAGTCATTTTCAGATCACAACTTCATAAAAATAATGTGCATCACTGAAGGTCAAGAGAATGTCTGAAGTTCATCAGATTATTTCAGTACAGAGACCTTCGGTTTTCCTGAGCGTGCAGTTCTTCATAAAGTTAACCCATTTCCATCCCCCCACCCACTTCAAGTAGCCTGTTCCAAGAAACTGCCTTAAGAAATGTGATTATAATTTTTATTAACATTCTTCATCTGTGAGTTATTAAAAGTAGTATTACTGGTCTCTAGATGTCACCTGTAGGCTAGACTATTGCTAAATCATACAGTATCACACTATCACTCTTCCAATAAATTTGTCATCAGTATTGCATTCTACATGTAAGATGCTTCCCTTAATTTCACATTTCATGACAAAATATGGAGGTATGTGACTTATGCAATGAAATATAAGCAACATCATGATACCCTGTCAATTTATGACAGTTTCCAAGCAAGAGATCTTCTAAACACAGACTTTATACAATCCATGAATACACACAATGCATTTTACCTTTTCAATTAATACATTAAAAATGCATATTTATATGTTCACAATTAATGAAAAATCATTTTGTACAGAACCTTAAAACCATAGACTTCAATGAAATACAGTTTGAGAATCACTGGCCTATAGAAACATACCATATTTTCCTTCCACTCTATAAAACAAGTTATGGCAACCTTGGAAGTAGATCAGAGACAGAAGGAAACAGGTAATAGGGTATGAAAGATTGTATACAGGCCATAAACAGTGTACTGCAGGGGAAGATTGCTGTGCCTGGACTCTGAGCCTCAGGAGGGGGAATTTTGCTTTCAGGTTTCCCTAGCATGACTGCAAATATTATTCACTTCTCTTTCATATCTACCAATTTTTCAGTACCAATGTCTACTTAGCTTTGTTACCTCTAGCTGCAATTCCTTAATGTATGTAACAATATTAATTAAAGACCTTTGCATTGCCAAATAGTTGTGACTTTCACAAAATAAATGTAGTAAAAACAGGTTCCTGCAACATAAATTATTGGTAACAGATGTGTGAAGGCTTCTGTGATGACAGCCTAAGATACAATCAAGCAGGAGGGCCCAAACTCTTAACCTATGCCCTGGCCCCTAGAAACTTTCCTACACTACTGATTTTATGTATAAGGTATTTTGTTGAAACTGATAAAGCTTCTCCACAATGTTCTGTTATATATTATGAACCTCAGTATTCAAAAGAGCCATCCAGACTAATGTTCTGTCTAGAACAGTTTAAAGTATTCTTGCAAACAGCCAAACAGGTTTCAGACAGTATGAATCACTTTCATAATCTGCTTGCACAAAAGCACAATTACTTATATTGAAGATCATATTTCTAAGTTACCCAAAATTAAAACATCTGACCACATTTTTATGTGTGTGCATTCTGAATCATGTACAAGAAAAACATGACAGCTAATGCACATCAGAACAGTTCAAAACTCTGTATGAAAATACATGATTGATTTCTTAATAAATTTGCCTATGGGCAAATTCTGAACTAAAATTTCCCTTGAATGAATGGATGAATTAAAACTGTTGCACAGAGACCAGTAAAATATTTCTCAACTACTTTCTACAAGAGTTTCAATTTTATTAACGTATCCTATCTGAACTTGTTAGTTATGGCTCCTAGATTTGTGACTAGCTATTACACGAATCTCCTTCTAACATGTCAGAACACAATTCAAATATAATTTTGTCACACGGTGACAAGCAGTCCAGCAAAATCACTAATAACTCCATCTGTCTTCTATACACACCAAAAAAAAAAAAATGTACACAGCTTTTTCTCAAATAGTGTGTGTAAAAATATATTGTGCCTGTATAGCAAGTCAAGGATAATTACCGCATGACCCTGCATAATCTCACACTTTTCACTTTGTGCATACACACACACACACACACACTTATCATTTATTTTATCTTGATCTTGTGTAATTTAAGCTTGAAACCCAGCATTTCTGACAGAACTCCTGATAGAGCAGACAGAATCACTACCTTTGTGATAGTGTATAAGTATGGATTAGCTGACAAGCCAGAAATCTTGAATGGGCTCTCCAGTTCCTGTAACAGAGGTTACCACATACTAAACACAAATCTGGAACAGGTTACATCATAAAGTATATCAAAGTATCAAAAACCAGGCCTTAACAACTAAGTGGACCCAAGATCCAGTGTTCTAGCTACAACAGACAACTAATATATTTTGGCAGAGATCACTATTTATTCCCTTACTGTGTTGTTGAGAGCAGAATGGGTATTTAGGCATGGAAATTGCCACTGCTATTAAAAGGAGGGTGAGATGACAACACATGAGAGGATGAGAACAACTTTTAGATTGTGGTCTTCTGGATTATAATATAGTGCAATCTACTAGGTGGTTACCAATGTTTCAGAGGAACACACTGCCACCATCTTCAGGGTAGACACTTCTCTGAAATGTTGGTAACCACCTATTAAGAATACAACGATTCATAATAAAGGAGATCACAATCTTGAATTCTTACCTATGTGAAAACCCCAGATCTCAGAAAGCACAATCTTCACTACAAACTTCATGGCCTATATATAGCTGGAAACAAATAATGGCAGGCATTTGTCATGACTGTCTTGAACTACCACATACCATCCTCAATAAAATGTCAGCAGTTGGGCCACTTACTGACCAGTTTAGCCTGACTTGTCTAACAGTCATAATTTCTCAGTACGATGGGGTACCCAAAAGAAACCGAACTAATTCTTTTGTGGGCAGAGCTTTTGTAGTACAGCATTTTGCCGCTATGAGCGCATAGAGCTAACATTCCTGAGTCGATAAGCCGACTACCGTTGCTTCAGAAGGTAAGGACTAGTTTCAGCAGTTTATAGTGACAACTGTTTTGTGTGATCATGGTTTTTGCAATGGCTGATTTTCGTGAACAGCGTGCGGTGGTGAAATTCTGCTTTTTGCTCGGGAAAAGTGGAACAGAAACTCTTGAAATGTTAAAAACGGCATACAAGGACGATGCTATGGGGAAAACTCAAGTGTTTGAGTGGTTTTCCCGTTTCAAAAATGGTGAAATGTCAATTGATGACAAACCTCGTTCTGGTCGTCCTTCCACGGCCCAAACACATGAAAATGTTGAAAAAATTCGTGAAATCATCAAGGAAGATCGACGACAGACCATTGAAGAAATTGTGGAGCTGTCGGGAGTGACTTGGAGCTCAGTGGCCAGATTTGTGGCAGTTGGGTGACTGGTTTTTCCATCATGACAATGCCCCTGCTCACACAGCCCTGTCTGTACGACAATTCTTCACCAAAAATGGTATGACCCCTGTTCCTCACCCTCCATACTCACCCGACCTTGCCCCGTGCGACTTTTTTTTGTTTCCTCGAATGAAAAGAGACATGAAAGGAAAAAACGACGGAGGCGCTGTCAAGCATCTCAATAGATGAATTTAGACAATGTTTTGAAAAATGGAATAAAAGACTAGACAAGTGTATTAGTGTAAGTGGAGAGTACTGCATCATGACAACACCCCAGCTCATTCATCACACCTGACCCAGGGTTTCCTGGCCAAAAATGGCATTCCGCAGGTTCACCAGGCTCCCTACTCTCCTGATATAGCTCCTCGTGATTTCTGGCTGTTCCCAAGATTGAAGACCCCGCAAAAAGGCTGCCGTTTTGACAGCCACGAGAACATCATACATAATGCGACGGTGCAGCTGCATACTATTCCAAAAGAAGCCTTCCAGAATTGCTTTCAGGACCGCTGGGCTAAGTGTGTGCAGTCACAAGGGGCCTACTTTGAAGGGGATTAGGTGTTGTAACCACCCAGCTACAGAACTTGGTTTTCCCGGCCCAAGTTTGGATACTTTTTGGACAGAGTAGTATTTCTCTGGATTTGTCTTTGGTCTTTATTATCCCACTTTCATATGCTTAAAAACTGGAAGACACTATGTTAATGCAACATACACGTCAATTATGAAAACCACCTCAAACTTGTGATATCTGATGCCTCCAGTGTTGTCATCAAAATGAGGGACTGTCAAGTACATACTATACAAAAGCCAATTACCTTCCATGAATTCAACTGTGGAAGAAGTCCTGAACCCTTAATCTCAAAGTATGCATACCTTAAGCAGATCTGCAGCCAATTTTAGAACACTGTTTGCCACCATGAGCTCTTCCTTCTTGTTAGGTTTCTGTTCAATTTGAAGATATAAGTTGATCTGTAAAATGACGACTTTTGGTATAACATTATTAACAAAGGATCAAAAAGCGGCATATTTCCATGAATGACATGCCACTACACATGTACATGCAAATGTTTCTCATTCTTGAAATTACAAAAATCACTGAAATGAGACTGTAATGGCCTGACAAGAATCTAGGACTTGTAGTCTCTGCCTGGACTGTGCTTTAATAACGAGTGGATGTGAAACTTAGTTTCTCACTCTGATAGAAGAAATTTGAAGAACAGGATATTAGGAAGAATATTTAGAAGAAAGAAAAAGTAAGAAAAGAATGGAGAAAATTGTAAAAATATCTTGAGCTTCATCACTTGCACTCTTCACTGTTATTATTAATATTATTATTATTATTATTATTATTATTATGGAGGGGGTGGGTTTCCCCATGCACTGCCACCAGTTAATTATCTATTGTGTGTCCCGCTTTAATTATTCTACCAGTCGCCATGCCTTCCAGTACTGGTGCTCGCTATCAGCCAGCGAGGTTGGCCTTCTCTGGCAGTGGTACCCGATACTTCCCCATCTACCGGAGGAATTGGAAACTACTTGGGCGGGAAACTTTGCCTAATTTTGCTCATAGGTCTCCTAGAGACATGAGGATCTTTTATGTGACGTAAATCTACAACACGGGACACACGGCTTAAAGTCCCTCCTGGAGGACTTGTTCCCTGAATTTTTCCGCCCTTAAAAATTCCACGACCTCTGCTGGGTTTGAAACCACGTACCTTGAGTCATGAGGTGGGAACGTTACCTCTAGACTACGGAGGACACTTTGCAGTCTTCATTAAATATGAGTAGTGTCATCAGATCATGGAGGATGAGAGGGACAGGTCACGAGAGGGGGAGACAGGGAAAGCTGAAGTGAAGAGACTACTTGGGGGACATAGTCACAGAAGGGTGGATCTTAGAGAAAGAGGATGTGAAATTAAAAATTAAATTTGCATAGTGGAGGGGGTGGAGTCCAGTTGGATCCACTTGGCACAGCGGCCACTGATTGGCCTATTGTACCTGCCCTGGGTGGTTATGGTGATGGAGGATTTTTTGTGCAATGAAGATTGGCAGGGGAAACCAAAGTACTTGGAGAAAACCTACCCCAGCACCACTTTGTCCACCACAAATCCCACTTGACCAGACCCAGGTTTGAACCTGGGCTGCTGCGGTGGGAAGCCAGTGGCTAACTGCTTGAGCTATGGTGTGGCCTAAGAGGATGTGAAAGTGTGGACTGGATTCAACTGGCTAATTATAGGGTTCACTGGTGGCCTCTTCTGAACATGGTAATGAACCTTTGGTTTATATAAGATCCAAGTAATATCTTGGAAAGCTCAGCAACTATAAATTTTTCATGAAGAAGTCTGATAACAAGAGAGTTTGTATTTGAAACCTAATAACGTTCAGGTCACTAAATTTAGGACAATGAAATAGGCAAAATATAAGAGCACACACTCAGCATTCATGTTCTGCTACTACAGTGTTAGGTCAATGTCAAAGCATGTACTTTTGTGTCTTGTACACACTTTTCTTTTTTGAGAAAACTGCCAAGTTTGCTTTAGAGATTCAAGTATAAAAATTTCCGAACAATTTTACGTTCAGATTCCCAATACTGAAGTTTATTAAAATATATTTAGTAATTCTGGGGGGAAGCACGCAAAAGGAAAGACACAACTTCAAAATTATGGGTTAATTCAATGTACTTTGTGCAAAGAAGACATAAAATATCAGTTTCTTGGTGTTGCCATCTTTGTGCAACTGGGATTTAGAATATTACTTTCTAAAATATCTGATTTTCATTCCACATACTCATACCTGTTCTGTTATAAGAACTGAGAGGTTGCGATATTTGCGATTGATCTTAGTGCCCAATGTCATGAAGCGCAGTAAAAACACACCTAACACCAAACACCACACCAGGGCTTCCAAGTTATATTCTGAATGAAGCCGCACAGAGTCCTGTAAACATGAAAACCAGACTAACACTTTCCACAACTTTTAAAATTAGTAACTAAGTACTGACATATAAACACGGAAATCAGCAAGCTGCTTGGGTGTGTAAGTGTTCAATAAATTTGATCGGTTAATATTTAGTCATAAAAGCAATTTGTTTTAATATTATTTACACTTAGAAGATACACAGAGGTGTTTAAATTTTCATGGCAGTAATTATTCAGATTGTGGTTTTTTGGGTTGTGGTATCATGGTTTTCTTTTTTAGCTAGATATTAGAAACTATTTAAACTGATGCTAAAAAGGTTTCTTCTTTCAAATTGGTTTTATTCCTTGGATGAATATTTTAACTGTAAAGTAAACTAAACACCTGGGTTATACTCCCTACTAACCAAAGTTTTTTACGATCATCACATCTTAGTACTATCAGAACATTAGTTTTAACATTTTAAACATATAGCTGTCATATGATATACAGAAGTTGTTCCATCTGTGTCCTGGGTATTAAGTGTGCAGGCATCTATGGCCTGTTTGTTGTCTGGGTATTGTTTGTAAGTAATAATTGATGTAATGTCCTAATAAATATTCTGCTTTTAGATATTAGACCAATGTTTGAGATACTGTATTGTGGAGATGAATTATTGATGTATTTATATTCGTATCTTGTTAATGTGATGCGACTTGTCTGGTTTTGTCTGTGACTAATTCCACATCTACTGGTCATTACTGTACCACAAAGGATCAACGGAATGTTTAAATAAATTGAATTGAACTGAATCACCAACAAGCCTGCATGATGTCATAACTCAGCAGACCTTGCAGTATAAACTGATGGAAAACTCCAATAACAATAATGATAAGAAATTAGTTACAGTGGCCTGAATGAATCTTAGATTACTGTGAAGATGTAGATTTGGTACTGTCAACAATATGGACTTGTATTATCACATCTGCCAGATTATAAAGTGCAATTATTCCCTCAAAATTCTATTTAAAATTTTGCCTTATAATCCATAGGTATGGTAGGTCTTGCCTCTAAAATCTGGAGGCATCTTATTGTATAGAACAGTGATTCTCAACCTTTGTGAGACCGCGGCCTGGGAAGCTCTTTTTTATAAGACAAGGGCCCAGTATGGGCCATGGCCCAGCGGTTGAGAAACACTGGTCTAGAACATATGGTTATATTCGGGGAGTGTCACGTGTGAACCAGGTCTACGCCACATTAGTGGTGAATCAGCATTTAGTACAGCAACAAGCTAAGAAATGTGGAAAAAGCAGTAGAAAGTTAATTCTTTTGTCTATTTAACATGTCTATACTCTTCAGGTGTTCTATCTTGTTTGCTGATTACTATTCCAGACCAGGGTGATGTATGTTATCACTTGCTCTACAGTATTAACGAAGATATTGCCCCTTACACAATGCATTATTACAACATCATAAACATTTTAGACTTTAAATTAGGCAGGCTTCTTAATTCACAGGAAGACACTGGACAGATAATTTTTATGAGCTCAGAATTATGACATGAGTCAGGAGTGTCAGTTACATGGCCAGTGTCCTACCCATGAAGAGAGTGCTTTGCAATGCTGCCAGTTCCACATTTACATCCGTCACAGTATTGTCCATACTGACCTTGAGGCATTCCACGCTGAGAAATGACAGCAGTAATAGCGTGATCAGGAAGGCTGCAGACACAATCACATCCACTGATCGTTGCGGTCCACGCTTCTGGATTACAAAAGAATTACTTACAGTTAAACTTCTAGAATTATGTGCCACAAATATCTCATGTCTCTAACAATTAAGACAACAATAACAGGCTTATATTTATCTTTGTTTACTCTTAACGTACCAGTACATATGACTGGCCTATTATGACAATTTTAAATGTCCTGAAGAATGTTTCATATCTGACACAATTTTCCATACTAGTAGCATGTATATACCACATGTATAGGGCTTTAAACATGATGGGTGGTTTTTGTTGGGCAACAGTGAACTGTAATTATATTTTAAAAGCTGTTTTAGCTATAAGTGCAAAAAAAAAAATATAAAAAGGTCCTTGAATTTCTCACGCGCAAACTTCAAGTGGAAAGTACTACATTCCTTGAAAGACTTACAGCTGTGAATTAATGACATAAAATTTGAATTTTGAGCCTTATGGACTGGGGTTTGATGAATCTCAAAATTAGTAGTTTTCTTACTAGTTTACCTCAGATGGTTGATACTTAATATTACATTATGTGTCAGATGATGATTATGATACATTTCCAACAAACCAAGTGTGGCACCACTAAAGAAGCAAAGTGAGTGCCCTTGTACTTCAGATCACAGCTTCAAATCCTGGCTTGAATTATGCTGTTACACACTGTATGACTGCAGATTTCATCATTTGACAGCTTTGATTAGTACTTACATATTATACATTAATTTACAAAAATTGGGGTTCAGTGGTTAGTATTATTTTTTTTTTAAATTCACTTAGTGGGGGGTGGAGTCCAACTGGGTCCACTTGGCATGGCGGCCACAGGTTGGCCTATTGTAGTCTGCCTGGGTGATTATGATGATGGAGAATTTGGTGGAATGAAGATTGGAAGGGGAAACCAAAGTACTAAGAGAAAACTGGCCCCAGTGCCACTTTGTCCACCACAAATCCCACTTAACCAGACCCGAGATCAAACCTGGGCCGCTGCGGTGGGAAGCCAGCAACTAACTGCTTGAGCTACAGTGCGGCCAATTAGTATTCTTGCCCTGTGGTTCTGATTATCAGTGTCCAGGAACTTGGACATGAGTCTGCCTATACTGAATACAATTTTGTTTGCCTTTTCTTTCATAGATCTTGCAGACAAATGCTGAAACAATACTTTCAAACATGCCACTATCACTTCCTTAAACATTCTTTCATTACATCATCACTTACCCTACACAATGAAATAGCTGTAAAACCACTGGTATCTCTGATAATTCTAGTGGGTCATGATGATTGCAATAAGATGTTTACTGTGACAGTTTTTTGTTTATTTATTTGTCTTTTTTGATTCTTCAGAATATGTATCATCAAATTATAGGAGAGTTAGTAAATAAGGAATCTGAATGTACATGGAAGGAAGCAGTTGTGACCTATGTTAAGTTACTGTTATGTAGGGACTGTGGAAAACCACACAGAACCTCAGCCAGGGTAGGAGAATTTCCTGTAACAAGGTGACCACCTCAGGTTAGGTTTATGCAGCATATAATAGCAGGCACCGATGGATAGAAACACGCACACACACCACATGCCACCTTTCTAAGGTAAGAACACAACTATGTGTATCTAAGTAAAGTGTTTCTCACAGGTTATGGTGCAACTACATGTTGATGGGAAGAACATTCTGTGTGTTTCTCCTGTGCAATCTTCAACATAAATTGACAAATACACTTCCAGCTGCAATCTACAATGTTTGGAGGGAAATCAGCGCCATCTGCTAATTTTAATTTAAATTGCTAGCCCAAAATATAGGATATCCATTTAAAACTGTGCTCAAATATAAAATACTGTAACGTGTTTGGACACTGATCCCACTTCTGACACCAATGTAACGTGTTTCGTTACTGAAGACGCCATAGAGATCATTAATTGGTTTATTCAACAATCTACAAGTAACGGCTACAATTGATTATCACAATGTTGCGGGGTTTCACACTTTATAACCCTAATTGCAATAATCTGTTCACTCTGTGTNTACCATGCATGCCCCCCACCAACCCCATCCCCCATGTACGCATGCGCGCACGCACACACACACACTCTCTCTCTCTCTCTAGCTCTAGGCATCTGTGAGGCCACAATCTCTTCAAAATATTCCTTCAGCACATCCATTGTTGTCCTAGNACGAGCTCGTAGGCTTGCTCGGAACTATCTTCGGCGATGGCCAGGTTACCACTCGGTAGCTGTCACAGTAGAACTGACGTCGCCGACTGCTACAGTAGTGGGTTCGAATCCCACTTGTGACACCAGTGTAACGTGTTTGGACACTGATCCCACTTCTGACACCAGTTGTCACGTATCGGGTGTATATCGCGACAAATAAATTCACGCTGTATTTTATGTAGCGAATTTTATTTCACATTCGCACTTACAATCACCCAAATTACAGATTTACGATTACTGCTATCTGCAGTATCACAATTAGTATACTCCAAATGCCACAATACAACTGANTCAGGCTGTGAAGACCCATAGTGTTGTCAGACGTTGAGGGTCCCATATTATCTAGACAATCGGCTCAAAGATGGCAGTAAGGTTGTCAGCCTTAAGCACTGGCCATGCTTTACTTCTCAGGAAAATTATTTAATTAATTCCTGGTACTCATTTCTGTTAGAGGCTGAGTTGATCCCAGGGAAATAGTGCAGCTGGAAGGATTAGGTCAACTGAAAAAATCCAATGACCTCATCGGGACTTGAACCCATGACCTTCCGGCTTGTAGCATAACCCCTCAACCAACTATGCTACCGTGTGCCACATTCCATAGGAAAAGTGTAGGGAATGTTGTAATTCCAAATAACAAATACTTATGATGTAACCTGCAAAAAAAATCCAAAACAAGATGACAATGGTTGAGTTGTGACCATGAATGCGTCAACATTGGATTAATATTAGTAGTATATGGGACAGGCCATTTACACAACTATGTATATAAATGATTATACAGAATACTTTATTGTATCAAGTGTTCACTGTGCAGGCTTATTAGACATCCATGGAGTTGCTCTGTACGTAGTCACAGCATGCATTGTTGGAGCGGCTGGCAAACTGAAGGTCATTCAGAGATATTGGGTTTTCGGACTTTATCCATCATCCTGGTCCAGTGATTGAGGCTAGCTCTTTCTAAGGGACCCAACAGAATAGGTGTTTTTCCTTCACCTGAGGATGGAAACAGATCCAGTTTCCAAAACATAGTGTTTTTCATAGTTATTT